TTAGAAAATCAGTTAGCTTAAGAACAGCTAAAAGATGGTTAAATATTTTAGGATGCAGATTTGAAAAATACAAAAAGGGTATATATTTTGATGGACACAAGAGAGAGGACGTTGTTGAATATTGGAAGAGGTTTTTGAAGGAAATGAGGACTTTAGAAAGAAGGATGGTGAGGTATGAAGGAAGTATTATGGAGCCAATTCTACTTGTACTTGGAGTAGGCGAACAAGAGCTGATTCTTGTCACTCATGATGAGTGTAGTTTCTGTTCAAACGATGGAAAAAGAGGAATTTGGGTGCACGATGAGAAAATGCCATTGCGTAAGAAAGGGAATGGAAAGTCAATTATGGTAAGCAAATTTCTTTTAGAAGTGTATAGAAGGTTACAATTAAGCGAAGAAGAAAAAAAAAAAATCCTAATATTTCCGCAGAAGCATGCTGTTACTTTACACCTGGTAAAAATCAAGAAAATTATTGGATGGTTGAACATTTGTTAAAACAAATTAAGGAGAAGGCAATACACATTTTTGAAGCAAAATTTCCTAATGCAACGGCCATTTTTGCCTTCGATAATAGTATGAATCATTTAGTGTTTGCAGATGATGCCCTTGTGATGCAAAGAATGAACAAAGGCCCTGAAGGAAAGCAAAGTATAATGCGACTGACAATTTTTATTAATAACAATGGACAATTAATAGAACAAGAAATGGTATTTGAGAATAATTACTCTGATCCTAATCTGAGAAGAAAACCCAAAGGAATAAAAAGAGTGTTAGAGGAAAGAAGCCTATGGAAAAAAGGGTTAAATTTGGAATGTTTAATGTGCAAAAAAAAAGAAAATTCTGAACAAATTGATTGTTGCTTGAGGAGGATTATGGCTTCTCAACCAGATTTTTTGGCTCAAAAGTCTGCTATCGTGGAATTAATCGAAGGTGCCGGTCATATTTGCATTTTTATCCAAAGTTCCATTGTAAACTTAACTTTATTGAAATGTATTGGGGTGCACTAAAAGGTATACAAGGAATCACTGCGACTACACATGGGTTGGCTTGCAAAATACTGTTTCACAAGCGCTTGATTCAGTAGATATCGTTACGATTAGAAGATTTGCCAGAAAATCATGGAGGTATATGGAGTTATACCATAAGAGACTGACGGGAAAATTAGCAGAACGAGCATGCAAAAAATTTAAATCACATAGGCGAATTTCTCAAAAAGAATTAACATTATTTTTACAGGAAAATGGTGGCAATAACGTTTAAATATACTAAGGTATATATATATTTTTTTTAAGGCACTACGCTAATTTATTTATTTATTTTTATTTTATTTTA